ATTGTCACCGTCCAGGGAGCCGGGTCTCCCCTGGGGATTGCATCTGCCACAGGCCCTCCTGGGGCAGAGCCACTCAGTCTGTGCAGTGTCACCCAACCACAATCACCAAACCCACGTGCCTGCGTGCACCAGTCCAACATCCTCACACACACATGTACACACACTTTTTATTCCTACAGGCCAGATCCCCACCTTACCCAGCTCTCTGACTGCACAAGAGGTCTCCTGTGCCACTGGGTAAGGGACCAGCACCAGTTTGGAATGGCTGGCAATCTTGCAGGCTTATCAGAGCCCTGAGCAATGGGGAAGGCGAGGCACAGGTTCCAGCAGCAACTCCTTCTCTCACACATCCCCCACACCTCTGGTCCCCCTCTTGGTGCTCAGCATCAGCAACTGGAAGCCCCTGAGGTCAAGGGCATGTAGTGGAGGTAGGGAAGGAAAAGAGCAATGGGAGTACTAGCACAGAGGGGGAGGGAAGGGTCCCTGCCTGCCATCTGAGGACCATCCCCAGCCCCTGCTGCACCCGGTGCCCTGCCCAGTGCCACCAGGCTCACGGGTGGATGGGGACCTGGCAGGGCGGTGCGGGTGCCCAGCCAGCCCGGCGCTCCAGGGCCAGCTGCATGCTCCAGATGCTGAGGGGCCGCATGTAGGCCAGCGAGCGGTACACCTTCTTCTCCCGGTAGGCCTCCGGCGTCTGGAAAGCCATGCCCAGCCGCTCCCACACCGTCCGGTAGCAGCCCTCCGCCGTACGGAAGCCTTCCTCCACCAGCCCCTGCGGCACAGGGAAGGCGACCATCAGCAGCTTCCCACAGCACAAGGAGACTGCACACGTGCCCAGGGATGTGCTGTCAGCGTCCCCACTCACCTCCTGGATCATGGTGGCAGCCAGGGCGTACACCACGCCGATCCACACCTCGTTGGACTGGACGCTGGAGGTGTCGGGCACCCCGTCGGGTCTCATGCCATTCACAGCCCCCATGGTGCCCCCCGCAAAGCCCAGCACATTCTTCTCAAAGATGGTCCTGAGTGCACTGAGAATGTGACTCTTGGGGAAAACCTGAGTGGACAGAGACGGGGAGGGGGCAGCTTTGGGCTCATTGCTCCAGCAGACCCCTTAACCTGGCTCTCCAGAGAGCAGGATTCAATTTCCTTGGAGGAGAAGGTCAACATTGCTAGCTGGGTCAATTGACACAAATTCCCACCTCACAAAAATAACCGCAGGAAGTGAAATCTCCTCTTTCCCCAAAAACAAAAAAACAGACCCCAAAACTGCTCAAAACAGAGATGTTGAATTTTATTCTACCTTCCTCTTGAGCAGGCTTAACAGCTCATCCAACCAGTGCATCCCCCATAACAGCTTCTCACCCACAGTCAATGGCCAAATGCCCTGCCATCTCCTGGGACTTTGCTCTGGGGACCTGAACAACCACACCACCCTCATTTCCTTTACGGGCACCACTTGCAAGGCAGCAAAGATCCAGGCAGCTCATCAACACAGCCCAGGGACTTGTCAGAGCCTGCTTGCCACTCTGGTGACACCAAAGCCTGGGGAAGCAGAGGCTGTCATGACACCAGGCAGGAGCTTGCCAGGGGAGGTTGAACACTTCAACCAGACACCTTGGCAGACTCAAAGGAAAATCAGCAAATCCCTCTCAGCTCTGCTAAAGTCAAGCATCCACACAGCCATTCTTCCTCAGCCTGCCTCTGCATAGAAGCCCACGTGCTGCTCTGGGGATCACCAAAGGGTTGGTGTGAAGTAGCTATCTCTGGCACAACCTTTTGGGGCAGAGCTTCTCTTACATTTCATTACTGACTTGTGCACACAGCAAGAGCATGTTAATGAGGTTACAAACAGGAGCGCTGCCAGCCAGGCAAGGGATCAAAATACATGGAAAAACACCTCGATGCTCATAGGAACAGAGGAGACACGTTCATCACTCCCACCTCCAGTGAGCTCAAAGCTCACCAGAGGGCAGAGAAGAGTGCCACCTTCAGCAACACAAGTCCAAGGCTAGGAAAGGTAAGGGACCTTCTGGAGTGCACCACTTTCACTGTTTCCTCCCCAATGTGTATTACTGCAGGTCTGGTCCAGATCCTGCCTGGAGCCCCAGGCACAGCCCCAGTCCCAGACCGAGATAAACACAGGAGGGCCTGACCCCAGGCCCATTTCTTATTAAAGCCCACAGTCTTCAGCACAAACTCACAAGTCAAGTCCTCTGAAATCTCCCCTCTGATTTACCAACATGTGGGAACAAGCTCAGTCACTCTGCACCTGCACTTAGGTAATGGGAATCCAAAGGGAAGATGGACCTTGCCTAAGTGCTTTGAAAGGGACAATGTTGTGTTTCTCCAAGTGGAAAACCACTTGGAACAGTCTGTATGGTAGCGTGTGATTTTCTCTCATGGCTGAACACAACCACCACCTGATGCCAGTGTGAATGTGTGGGATCGGGGCACTGGTTTAGGACAATCCTGGGAATTCCAGCTAACTAAAGAAAAACACCAAGTCCTGTTTACCAGAGAATATGAATAAAAGGGGAATGCTGAAAAGGATGGGTGGACAAGTCCCAAAATCGGATTCTGTGTGTGTGCAGCTCCATTTTTCTTTCAGCACCCATACAACAGATGATGAAGTGGTTCATCACCCTCCCACACACAAAGTCACTCCCTCCTTCTGTCAGCACACTTGTCTGCCTCTCCATAACCAACAGAAAGCTTTGGTCTGACAACTGCCCATGGAACACAAAGAATCCATACAATGGCTCTCCAGTGCTCAGCTCTCTTCCAGCTCTCTGGCATCACCAGCTCTTCCCATCCCACCACACCTGAGGAATCTGCAGCCAATTCTACTCTTGCAACTGAAGAGCAACAGACTTGACGGACCCAAATAAGCCATAGTTCTCTCAGATACGGATTTCAGATTTTTTAGGGCAGCAAATAACATGTGGAAAGTTCCGTCACTTTTTTCTCCTGTTTTTAAGCAAATAGCACCTTGCCAAGAGCAAATCCCAGTGGGACCTTCCTCCAAGTATGCCATAGCTGACTATGATTACACACCCCTGCTGCACAGCCTCTCCATGGGCAGATTTTGGTTTAAGGTGGATTGCACCATGTCCATCCAACAGCCTCCACCACTGCTAGTGAAGAACAAGCTAGTGGCCCCCGCTCCAGCCCCTAACGTGTTATCTCCACCACGTGCCAGTCCTGCTGCTGTTCCCCTCTTGCCACAGGTTCCATCTCACCCCAGCCATACCAGGCTGCCCCTTCTCATACCTCAAACTCCCCTTGGTCCAGGCCACAAGCCCCAAGAAACCACTGCCCAGCACACTGGTCTGACATGATGCTGCTGGAGGTGTGACTTCCACTGCTGTCGTAGTTGTAGTATTTTCCTGGAAAAGGTGGGAAACATCAAAATCAATAGTTTAGGATACTGGCTATCCCTACATTCTTCCCGGTGTGGCAGAAACCCAGCAGCTTTTTCCACAAGGCTCTTCTCCTTCCCTTCCTACATCATCATACCCTTCCTGTTCCCTCTCCAGTACGTACTCCTTCCCTTCCACTTGGAGGGGCAGCATGTCCCTTCCTTCCACCACTCCCTACAAAGGCTCCGTGATCCAAGGAGCAGCCATTGCCCTCCCAAGGGACGCGTGGCCAGCTGAGCGTGGTTTCCCACCAGCGAGCACCCACCATTCCAGAGCATCCTCTCAAATGCCTCCTTGCCCTTGCTCAGGATGGCCATGTATTTCTGCTGGATCTCTGCATCCCCGAGCACCTCAGCCATCTTGCACATCATGCAGACAGCAGCCAGCCACAGCCCGCCACAGTAGGCACTGCCAGAGCCAAAGGAGAGAAAGATCAGCAATGTGGGACACCCCATTGGCTGCACAGAGCTCCCACAACAAATGGGGACCAAGGGCCCAGCTCTGAGCTCCCTCCCCCACCCACAGTCCCCATCTCCAACCCCTCCTCGCCCCTCTTGCTCACCTGGCTCCATGTACCACCCACGCATCGTACGTCTGGTCAGCAAAGCCTCCGTTTTCAATGAGCCCGTCATTGTCCGTGTCAAACTTCAGCTCCGACTCCATCACAGTCTGTGGGAGAGGCAGGAGATGGTCGTGCCTCGGGAGCATCCATCCCCTCGGGAAGTCGCTTGGCTCCCAAGGGAAGTGGGAAAGGATTGATGCCCCATGGTCTGATCTCCTCCCAGTACCTGGCAGACCGGCCACATGTCCCGCAAGTACAGGGAGTCATGTGTCAGGTAGTAGTCACGGTACACCTGCAGCACAAACTTCAGGTTGAGGTCCTTCCAGTCGGCCGTGTCGTGCATCAGGTAGGCATTGACACGCTGCCACGGCTCGTCACCTAAGCACGGACAGAACGGATGCAGCAGGGCAGCACACAACAAACATCCCCTCTCCCACCCAGGAACAAGGTCCCAAAGGCACTGGGATCAAACAGCACTGAAATAATATGTTCTACCCTGTGCCATTTCCAGTAAGAACAGCCTTCCTACTACTGCTATCCCTCTTGTACAAGCTCCATGCAGCACGGCTTTCATCACCACCCCAAAACATCCAGCATTTCATTCCCAGAAAACAGAGAATCATAGAATCATTTAAGCTGGAAAAGATTTCTAAGATCGAGTCCCACCATTAGCCCAGCACTGCAAAGTCCACCACTGAACAATGGCCTTAAGTGCCACATCTACACATCTTTTAAACAGCTCTGGGGATGATAAACCCACCACTTCCCTGGGCAGCTTGTTCCAATGCTTGACAACAACAAACAGTGTATTCCATGAACCATACCCATTTCCCACAGCTTGGGACTTAACTACCCTAAGGAAATGGTACGAGCAGCCTTGCACCCCCCTCTGCCTCCCAGCAGGCCCAGACAGACCCCTCACCTGGGTCCCCAATGTCGTGTGGCACCACGTTCTTCAGCTTCACCTGGGCTGTCTGACCACACATCAGGTACTGACGGAGCTGGACATCCTCATTCACCACTGTGACAGCTGCACAGGACACAGAGCAAGGCACGTCAGAAGGGCAGCAGGAACTGCAGCAGAAAGGTCCAAGCACAGCTACGGGCAGAGTCACCACCACCAGCACACCAGGCTGTCCTTTGGGGCTCTGGTTGCAAGATCACAGCCCTCTGCAAAGGGCTGAGGATACACCAGGCTGCTCCCAGGCCCCCCTCAGCAGGAGACATGCAACTGTCACCACCCCCTTAAGAAAGAACCCCAGTGAGCTCAGCCCTCCCACAGCCCAGCAAAAGGCTCAGTTGCAACACTGCTCAGGCCACCACCGAGCAGCCCCCAAGCCCAGCCAAAGCATCAGGGTCTGCAAACAGCCAAATGTGTCTCCTCTGCAAGGGGCACAGACAGAGCTGGCAAGACCAGGGGCTCTCCCACGACAGACAGAGCCACCTGTACACCCCCAGCACGACAAGGAGGCATCCAGTGTTGGGCATAGAGATGCTGAGGCAGCAACATTGGGGATCTGCAAGTCCTGAGCACAGCAGGGGAGCTGGAGAGGGATGCCGGCTCCATGGCACAGGTCTCTATGGCAGGAGCTGTCCCAAATCCTCCATCTCTTCCCCAGCTGAAGACCCCAACAGGCCCCAAGGCAGGGCCTCCTGGCTCCCTCACCAATGTCATACTGCAGGCTGATCTGCAGCTTGGGCCAGAGCATGATGAGAGCAAAGGAGGCGTAGAAGTGAACGTCGTAGGTGTTGTACATCCGGTACTCCTGGCCTGGAAACACAGGGGACGTGGTGAGGGACAGCAGACCTGCCTCAAGGAGGGAAAAAAAGGGCAGGTCCTCCCTCACACATGGCCCATCAGGGTGGACTCTTTCCCAACACAGACAGAGACTCCTGTTACAAGCGGGTTTTGTTCTCTCCATAGAGCACCAGGGGTCTGGGAAAGACCTCATGCTGTATCCTACAGGGCTGCAAGGGGTTTTCCTGGGAACAGAGCTGCTCCCTACCCATTGTGGCGTGAAAAGCATTCCCATGGCAGGTTAAAAACATCTGGTAACAGTAGCAGGGAGGGCTTGACTTGGGACCATCCGTCACATCCCTGCAAGTTACCTTCCAAATAAGCAAACCTTCCGTATTCCCGCAGGAAAGGGAAGAGATGGGACAGGCCAGCCCCTGCAGGCCCCTGCAGGTCCTCAGCACAGCAATCTGGGGGCACCTCCATCCAGATGGTCCCCCCATCCGTCAGGAAGTACAGTTCATTGAAGAGGGCTGACTTGTACCAGGAAGGCAGCTGGCTGTGGGAATGAGGGAAACTCAACCACAGTGGACGAGGTGGGGATGCTCCCACTCCATCCAGTCCCAGGAGGCCACCAGGAAGGGGCTCTCATCCACCCTACCGGTTCTCCAGGATGGGATTCTGCCACGCTTCAATCTTCCTCTCCCACTCCTCATAGTGTGTCAGGGCGTGATGTGACAGGGCAGGAGCAGCATCACCTCCACTGCCAAAAAACCGGGTGTACCGCCTGCCGAGAGGGGGTTTGGTGAGCACGCCGTGGGCTCCAGCTGGGAAAGCCACCCAGAAACGAGAGAGGGGCTGGACTTTAGGGAACACCAAGGTAACTCAACCGCTAGTGCATTGTCACTGAGGAGCAAGGGTTGGGGAGAGGGTCTCCTCCCTGAGCTGGCAGGGCCACGGATGCAGGGAATGGGTGGCACAAGTCTCCCCACATGGAACACAAGCCCGGAGGCAGCAATCAGGGGACTCCAGGGACATGAGCCAAATCCCATTGGAGACAACCCACCCACCTGAAGTGCAGCTTCTCCTTGGAGCCAAAGTGAACACATGGCATATCCCAAGCCAGGGCCAATTCCAGTGTCTTGTGTCCCTGGGCAGGCACTCTGCAGCTGGCACACACCGCCGCTGCCGTCACCTCCCCCTTCTCCGTCAGGCTGCTTTTACCTGACGGGAAAAATGTTTGTATTCGTAAGAGACCAAGGAAGTCCTGTGAAGGAGTAAATGAAGATCACACACACCCCAGAGAGGATTGAGACCCTTTGGGCATAGCACAGCCCCACTGCAACCTGGAAGTTACAGCCCCAGGGTTTTAAGGGATGACTGTTGCTGCAGGAAAAGATACTTCCATTGGCGGAGTCCTCAGTCAAAGCAGAGGAACAAATCAGGCAGGAAAAGCCACCAGGCATGAGTGGAAGGCACAGAAGTCCCATGACTTTGTATCCGTGCTGCTCAGAGACACTGACTTTCTGGTGACAGTCATTGCTTCCAGCTTTTTGCAGGGTGTTTGAGCCATGCTGGTATTTAAGAAAAGCCCTGAGGCAGCTGCATAATTATATGCTCGTTGTGACATGTGTACAATGTCATTAGAGTAACAATTTTAACACAAGCACAGATCCTGACTATGATAATATCTGGGATTCATGAAGCAAACCACATCCCAATATCCTGAAGAGCTCTGAATGCATCCAGGTAGGAAGCTTATTTTTCCGGAAATATTCAGACAAACATTTCATTTACATAATGTAAGGTTAAAGAAATACTGCAAAGACCCAATGTCAGCATCACTAGTTTGTCAGCATCATCCTTGCTTAAAAGCTGACAGAGATATTAGGCAAATGGTCACCTTTCATGGCAAGAGGAGGTGAGCAGCAAGGGCTGGGACCTTGCCTGAAGCACCCTGCTTCCAGGTTCCTCCCAAGGGAGCGAGCAGACAGCTGAAGGATGATGCAGAGGGAATACCGGAGACCTTTGGGGAACTGGTACAGTAACAAGTAGACAGCAAGTGATGGCAGCACCAAAGGCCAAGGGCTGCTAAACGCCTGCTGGAACCAACCTGATGGGACACAGCTCACTCATCTGGCAACAGGGACTGAGGGAAGGCGGCTGGGCAGCACCCTGGCTACTCAGCACAAACCTCAGCTCAGTGGGCAACCCCACAAAGACTAAGGAGATACTGGCACATGGAACTAATAATGCCAGGAACAGCTCCAAAGTGGTGTGAACACCACTCTTTTGGAGAACCACGGCAAGGACAAGCAACAGAAAGGTTGGAGACAGCCTAAAGTTGGGAAGAAGCCACAGCATCCCACAGAGCTTTTAGCAATGACACCAAGGTGGCTGGAGGAAGGGAATTCTGCCTTGGCTCAGGTACCCTGTGCCCCACAACCAGGGGTCACTCATTCCCCCTGCTCCCCCTTCACATGTCCCATGGAGGATGGAGGGACTCACCGGTGGGTGAATCCAGCCTGCCATCCTGCAGGAGGTCCTGCCACACCTCTCTACCCAATCCCATAGGATTGAATGCCGTCAGGTGGGTGACTCTCGTGCCAGCCTGGAGACGGGAAGAGAATCCTCAGGGGCTGGTACTTTGGAGGGGCAGACACAGGCTCTCCACCCCCAACAACAACACTGGTACATCACACTCACTCCCCACTTGTTACCCTCCAACTGCAACTCCAAATCTACTCACCCATTGCCCTGCAAGCTTCACCCACAGCTTCTCTCCTGCCCACAGGGAGGTCATATCCCCTCCCCTGAAGTCAGGCAAGCACTGAGTACTGCTGCTGGCCCCAACCCATTGACACACTCATCAACTATCAGTTGCCTGGAAGCAGCTCCAGCAGGAGCCACAGCACCAGGGCAACCCTTTACCTTCTCCCGGGCAGAGATGGCGAGAGTGAAGGGGTTCACACTCGTGCAATGGTGCAGCAGGACTCCAGCAACTCGCTCGCCATCCTTCTCCAGGGCGAAGGGCTCATTCCAGTGCCCTCCGCTCCTGTCCTCCTTCGTTCCCGTGCCATTCTGCAGGCTGAACATGATGGACACTTCCACGTCCTCATCCCTCCCGTTCTCCACCTCCCAAATGAACACTCCCACTGGCAGGCTGGAGTCCTGGAAGAGACAGAAAATGCCGTGTACACGGCTGGTGCTCCACCATTGGCTGCTGGAGGATGATTTCTCTCACTGCAGGGGAAACCATGCAGGACACAGGGGGAGGATCAAGAGCACCAGGAACAACTCAGTCTTGGAGTCTGTTGCCAAGCTGAAGAGGACCAGCAGGAGCAGAGGAATTTATGGGGCAGGTAATACAAAATTCAGAAGAGGAGCCCTGGGCTAGCAAACACCACACCCAACAAGAGGGAGACGGAAAGCAGTGTTTAAGGCTCAGCTGGGTGTCTCATCCCTCAGCTGCCTGGCAGGTTGATACAGGCTCACGTGCTTCCCTGGGGTAAGAGGAAGGTCAGATGTGTCAGCAGCACAGCCTGCCACCCTCATCTGGGGCTGGGAGCCAGCACGAGCAGCATGAGGGAGCGCTGAGCCATCCCTTGCTGCCATCCCGAGCTCCTGCATTGCTGCAGGGGTTCCCCCTGCATGGGACCATTACTGAGCAGAGACACAGGGAAATGTTGGGAAAGCCTAGCTAATAAGCAGCTCTTCCCTTTGGGATGTCATCACCTCCTTACCTTATAGTCATGGGGGATGACAGGAGAGACCTGTCGGCAAGTGAGCACCACGTTCTGCCCCGGGAGCTCATAGACCATCCAGGCCCGAGGGTACAGGGCGTGGTAAAAGGCATAGTGGCCACAGTAGCCCCAGTTCCAGCTCTGCAGAGTGCTGGGTCTCTCCACAGACAAGACCTGCTGGTAAATCGTCTGCCCCTTGCAACGCAGGCACACGGTGAACTGGGGAGGAGAGGAACATATGTAGGGAATGAGATGAGCCCAATGACAGATGTCCCAATGGCCCAGGCTGCTGCAGTGCCACTGACTCCCCCTGCATACCCTGCTGCACCTACCTGGTTGGCGATGACTGTTTCATAGTTATAAATGCCAGGATTCAGCTGCCAGCGGCAGAACTCACCCCGCCAGCCACGGGTGATGGTGCCTCCCCCGATCCCGCCCAGCGGACACCCTGGCAAAGACACCAGAAATTAGCACCCCCATTCCTCCCCATGGTGGGATCTGGCTCAAGGACCCTCCCCAAGCAGCTCCACAGGGGGGGCCACTCAGCACTGCCCACACCACACAGGCTCATTAACTAACTCATTCCCTGAAGCATCCATGTGAATCTCTGCCCACCCAGCACACTGGGTATTGCACCACCCCAACCTGTGCCCAGACTGGAAGCTGACCGTAGATCTGCTGCAGAGGGACAGCACACAAGAGGTCAATGAAGGCAGATTTCTTCTCTATGCGGGTCTTCTTGACCCACCACCTGAAGTATCTGCAAGGGAAAGAGAGGTATGAAAGAAGAAAGCAGGCACCACCATCTCTTCAGTGTCACTGGGTGGGATGTGACTAGCACAGGTTGAGTTTTCCCTCTTTGTAGAGATGTACAACAGGAATGTGTGTCCCAGGGCACAAGGGCTGACAGCCCCTGCCATCCATCTGGAGCGCACATCGGTCAGCAGGCATGAGCAGGCAGAGCTCGTGCTGCTCAGGGCTGACTGCATAGACCCAGTGTCAAAACAGAGCACTCTGATACCCAAGTGCAGGGCTCCCAGCTCATGCAGGAGCAGAGGCTTTTCCAGACATCCATGGAGAAGTGGGAATGCACATAAGGACCACCACCACCACCTCCATGTCTGGTACAGAACATCCAGCTAAGGAAGGTCTGGGAGTGGAGGTACATGCCCAGAGAAGCCATACACTGCTCCAGGGACACAAGCCTTGCTCTTCCACCTCCACATCCCCATTGCCACACACAGTCCTACCACATCCCAGTGCCACATCCTCAGGGGCAGGTGGCACAGGGCAGCCTGGACCTGGAGGGGGTGATGGTTGCAGTCTGCAGCTGGTAGGATCGTGGGGACTCACCTCTGCCTGCAGGCCTGCTGCATAGCCCTGCACTGCCCATCAGATAATTTCTCACCCAAAGGTCTGGGAATCAAGACACCCAAACAGGGGCACACCTGCAGCTGGGTGTGCCAGCACCACTCCAGGCAAGAGCAGCAGGGCTGGGCTCCGAGTTGGCGCTTGTAAAGGACTGGCTTTGCTAATAAACCGCCCCGAGTTAAACCTTCCATATGGAGACAATTAGCATACGGAAACCAGCTACTAGACCAGAAGCTGCTGAACTTTGCCTACTAAACAGTCAGGCAAGACCCAACCAGTAGCTCCATGCCCTCAGGTGCCACGTGGGCATCAGGGGCAATCTCCCTGAGCTACCTGCAGGCACCCATGCCATCCATACTGCCAAGGAGAAAACCACCTCAGCTGGGAGAACACAGTCTGTCCTGCTCCAATGGCTTGCGGGATGCAGGTGGCAGGCAATGGGCAAGCACTAATCCTCCAGGACATGTATACCCAGAAGCAAGGGGGAGAGGCTCTTCTATGACACGCTAATTCTATATTTCCCCTACAGAAACAACCCACGCTCGACCTTTTGGCTGCGTGGTCACTAGACGTTAATCTTTATTCACCAACATTTAAAGGTCCCCAAATCCCTCTCAGGGTGAGATTTTCTGGGTTGCAGTCCCCCAGGACCTGACTGCTGCGTGCTCTCCATTCCTATAGACCCACCCTTATGTTTGATTGACTATGGACACTTTGCTCACAGAGGTCCATGGCATCATGAGAACCAGCCTGTCCTGCACGACCGCCCTGAACCAGGGCCTGCCAATATCTTCCAGCTACATCTGCTGCAACTGCTCTTCTCCAGCTGAGACAGCCGCGGCCTTACCCTGCCAGACGAGGTTTTGGCAGTGCTCTCTCTGTCTCTCAAGGAAATGATTATTATTCTTTTACAACCCAGCGTCAGGGGACCAACCCAGCTGCTTCCCCAGCAGGTTTCTGGAGACAGGAAATATGGTGCTCAGGCAGAGTGGCTGCAGCACAGCCTAGCGGAGCATTACGAGTCCTTGGAAAGGAGGTGGCAGACAGATTTCAAAAAGCAGTTTTTCCAGGAGCACACAGCAGGAAAGGTTTGGGATTTACAGCCACTGCCAAAGTCATTTGCCACCTCTTTTCCTGCCAGCTTCTCCCAGAATCACACAAGACAAGAGGAGGTGGTCAATGTCCAGTTGCTGGCTATTAATAGCTCTGCCAGGACTGCAGAATAACTGGGAGAAAGCCTTTGTGCTTTGCAGCCCCAAAAGCCCTGTCAGGGCTGGAGGGCATTTTTTTCCCTTCAAATTGGCAGTGGAATTAAAACCTGTCTGAACATTACTCAGCTGATCTAGATTTATGTCATGACCCTCTCTCACGACGCACCAGCCCACCTCTGCAGAAATCTGCCTGCACCTCTTCTCCTGCCTCGCCAGCCCCAGCCTGCACAACCCTTTCTTTCCGTACATGTACATCCCGCTCAGAGCTACACCAATGAGCCCTGATTAACAAAAAGTCCTGCCCCAAGGCTGCCAACACCCCCAGCCAGGCCACCTGCATGACAGGCTGGTGGTGCAGAAGAGGACACCCATCATCAGGTTTAATTTGACATGACACACATCAGCCCAGGATGTGGTAGCTCCTCTGGAGGTTCTGGACTTCCTGAGCCAAAGATGTGCAGCAACCCCAAGGCGCTCCCAGCCATCTAGGCAGCTACCAGCACCTGCACCAGGTGATTTTGCACTTGATGCACCAAGCCATGCCAGGTTTTGAGAGAATTCCTGGCACTGGTGCCACTCGTCATGGGTCATTCAGGAGAGAACACGCCAACCCGCAGGGCTCCAGAGGTTCAGATCCACACACCATTCCGCAGGACTGAGGTCCAGGCTCCTCTCGCAGCACCAGCACCCAAGTTTCCATGAGCTGGATGCTTCTGCCAGGCAGACACCAAAGTGCCCACCAATGCCCGGAGTACGCAGCCTCCCAAACATCCCCACATCCCTGAGCTGGCTGCCCTTTGCCAGGCAACAACACTGCCCTCAAGTTTTAATTCAAACCCACACAGGTATTTCTCGCCACCTCGGCACCTCCCCTCCTCTCCTCTCCTCAAGGCTGCAAGGAAGCTTTGTCCTTGCAAAAGTACTTAAGGATGACAATCAAACTACCTCCTAAATTTGCACAGGGGAAGAGGTAGTATTTTGAGTTTCAGCTCCTTGTTTTTAAAACCTTTCCTAGGACTGATAGAAGCCACTTCCACTCTCAGACCCCTGTGGGAACGTGCCAGGAGTGGCCTCCCCAGGATCACTTCTCCCTGCTCACCCCACCAGAACTTCACGCTTTCCCACATGCTCAGCTCATCCCAACCTGCCATGGCAGCTTTCATTTATCTCCAGTGTCTGACCCACGCTCTCCCTTCCCTGATGCCCAAGCTCGCGCCAGGGTGTCTCAGGTCAGACAGGCTCTGCACCCCGAAGCAATCAAATATCTGCCCTCTCATTAGGCTTTGCAGGAACCAGCTTGGCAAGCAGCAGCCTCTAAGGACACCGGCAGAAAATGGAGGCAGGAGATATAAATCCAGCACAAGGAAATAAAGTGACGATGCCGTCACTTGTGCCGGCGTTCAGCTTAATGGGAGCACAAACACCGCCAGCGTTCGGACACCGGCTTTAAAGGTTAAAACAACACCCTCGTCTTCCACGCGTGTTCTCGTTGCTTCCAGCTCTCCCCGACGAAAAGCCGGGAGAAGTGCCCCGTTTCCGAACCTGCCACAGCTCACAGCATTCCAAACCCCTCCCAGTCAGCCACGGTTGGACCTCCTGCCGCCGAGCACCGGGGACGATGCCGTGTAAGACGCGGCAGCGATCCCTGGGGGTGGGAGATTCCCATCCTCAAGCGATGCCTCCAGCCCTGCCAGCAAATCGAGTTTTGGGGAGCCTGGGTGCTGCTCCTCTAGCACCAGTGCTCCCAGTGCCGGCGGCTCCGGGCGCGAGTAGGGCGGCTCCCGCCAGCCTGGGGCCTTCCGTGATCCGCCGGACTCTGCCCTCCGAGCACCGGGACACCGCCGGTGCCTCCCCGGGGCGAGCCGGCCGTGGCACCGAGGGGCTCCAGCGCGGCGCGGTGCCGTGTCCCCCCGGGACCACCCCCCTTCCCTCCCTCCACGGTGTGCTCCCGGTGCCCTCCATCCCCCGCCGTACCGTAAGCCGAGGCCGACGTGCCGCAGGACGTCTCGG